AATACTATGGCTTGGAAAAAATTATACCACAAGCAAATAAATTTGTTCTGTATGAGGGATTTTTCGACGAAGATGGAGATGACGACGCTAACAGGTATGTTTTTATATTACACTATTTATGTACCGACGTTTTTCTTGGTATTGGAACAAAACATTTTATCTCGAAAACATTTAAATATTCGAATTTGGACATTGAGCTTATTATCAATTTAATATTCCCTAAAAAGTAAATATATGACAGTAAATACACAATTGGAGTTAGGAAAGGGCATATGATGTCTATATATTAACTTTTATAGGTTATATTCTATAATTAATAATAATTTAAAAATCGCTTAAATTGTTATTGTAATATGAGAAATAACAAAGAAAATTGATAAAAATGTTTCCAACATTACCTGACAAATTATGTACCAAAATAGTGTTAAAAATTTTAAACGATAGATGTAGTAGTTTTGATATTGTGAGGGGCATCGGCTTTGAAACTGTGAATTGTGCAAAAAACTTTATGAAACTTCATTATGTTGGAAGGTTGGAAGGATCGAGATAGTTTGAATTACTTATGTTGAAATTTTCCTAAAGTATGGAAAAAGGTACCGGTCAGTGTGATCGTTACATGCTGGCAGATTACTGCTGGTTCAAAAAACGAAACTGTCAAATAGAAAATTATAGAAGAAAAGCTCATCAAAGACGTTTTTATTGAAATATAAATATATTTGGTATCATAAATTGCGAGCACAATCGTATCAAAAACTGATTTTATATAGAATTTAATATAACTGATTAGACATGAAAAAACCGTACGTATAAATTAATACAATTTGAAAAACACTTCGAGAAGTGTAGAATATATTAGAAAACTTATTCTTAATTGTCAAATTGAAAGAATTCAATAATTGATTCCTGGAAAGTATACACATATATTTTTCTTCAAACAAAAATTTTTACAATACTCGTATATCGAAAGTATTATATATAAATATAGAAGCATTTCTAAATGGAAGCCAGAAGAGGCAATCTTCAGGCTCTGCCCAAACAGCAATCATCGAAAATGCAGGTCGTAGTAAGTTTATTGAACAATGTACATACATATGTATAGACTTCGCAAATGTTTTAAATGGTTTTCTTTTGCAAGAAAACGGCTAGCGAGGTGAGTCTCACGCCCAGTCAGGCGGCCGAGCAGGCCAAGTTAAATGTAAGTTGTGGTAACTTCTCTCTGAGTACTTTGTTAATCAATTAGTGATGATTTAGGAGCGAAAAAATCCGTTGGATGCATTAAGTCGCTTATCATTACGACCGCAAGGTGTAGAAAAACGATCGGTAAATTTATTTAGACTTTAATTTCGAAAATAAAATCCTTTCTAATAAACACTAATGGCTTTAAAAAGGGTCTGCAAGATGTTGATGACGAATACTTTAAAAAAAATATGTTTTCCCGTACACATTTAAATCGACATGCGGTAAAATTATCGAATTTTGAATTGATTTACAATTGATATTATATATTAAATAAGTTGTTTACTTAAATTCCAAATCTATACAGGGGCTAAATGACTCTTATGAGCTTCAAGGTCACACAATTTCGCAGGTAACCCTTATATTTATATATATTCACAAGTAAAATTCAATACTACAGTTTTTCTCTTGTTACACAGGCGCAAGGTGATGCTTCCAATACACAACAGCAGCAGTATCAAGGCAAACAGCCGTACAATCTAAATTCCACTCACGCTCATCATCCAACATCGTTGTCAGTGCAACCAAATCAACAAACAACAGAAATTCTATCACAGCAACAAGTTTCCAGTCATCAACCCCAAACAACTTCAGCACCAATGCAGTGTAAAAATCAGTTCAAAGAACCACATGTAAATTATTCTTCCTACTTCTTTTTAAATATTTATAAATAAATTATGTGTACGTACGTTTTTAATCTCACCCAACTGACATCTTCTATCTTTATTTTATCATATTTGCAGTTATCACAGCCACGAACTGAGGCCCGAAATCAACATGCTCAACAACAACAACCCATACAATCATCTCCTATACCTGCTCCAGAACCAGAATTGTGCACAACTTGCCCTAATTGTCAAACAACGATTTACCTTGTTCGAGGACACGATACCAGCAGTGAGCCCGCACAAGGTTATACCTCAAACCAACATGATACCACTGGTAGCACAACTGCTAATTAGCACATTACTTGAATTGCGATCGCTCTTTCAAAATAAGCAATTTGTTTTTATGTCAAGCCAAATTTTTTTGTAATATAAATTTTCCAATGTAAAATTTTTAATAAAAATTTGTAGCTATCATTAAAATGCACTTTACGTAGAATAAATTTCAAGTTAGTGTGGTATATAATAGTAGATTTAATTTATTTTTTATTTGAAAAACATATAGTGGTATCATCTACTTTACATTATACTTATTTCACGTGTCACGATGGATAATGTGATATACTAAAAACTTTAGTTCTTGCGGAGTTACATCCTTCAGTTTGTTTCTCGCGTGCCTTTCCACTATGCTATAATTTAATGTTACTAACAAATAGTAATAGTTTCGTAGCTTATTTTTGTTTTATTTTTTCTCTTATGCAAACAGAACATAGTTTTTATCATTTCACAAAAATTAAAATGAGATTAACTGTTAAAATCAGTTATATGCAATGTTTTCTTGAATTTTTTTCTCATTGTTAAATATAATGTTATTGATATTTTGACAAATATGTTTTTGAATCTTAAAAACATAGCAAAACAGCCGGTTCCAATATACTTTAATACCGAAATTAAATAAAACATGCTAACTTAAACAATCAAAAAACCATCATTCAACTAAATTTTTTTGGAAAGAATATTTTTTATCTGTAAAAAAAAAAATTACATAATTCCGTATCCAAAATCAAATAGAGGGTAAAATAAGAAAATTATAACAAACGCAGGTGTAAACATTTCTCTTTATTCACTTTTATGGAAGATTCATAAATATATGTATCTGTGAATGCAGCAAAATGCCAAGATTTTGTCATATTACTACATATAGGCATGTTTTAGAATTAATATTAACTATAGTGCTTTTGTAATTTATGGTAGTTAAACCTAATAGAAAAGAAGATCATAATGTTTCAAAATTCTTTATTTTAGGTCCCTATTATGTGTTTCAACCAAACCGCATTTTGGTTGAAGTTTTGAAATTCGGTATTATGGTTTTCAACTCTACCACTCAAAAAATGTCCGTTGAAGTGCTGTTAATTTTTTATATTTTCTTTATAATTTAAAACTTTTTTATTTAGTTATTATTTGAAAATCTATAGGATTTACTCGTGTTGTAAATCTGATGAGACCTGGACGAGACAAACTATAATTTGAAAATATTCAAAAAAATAAGGGACCGTGGGAAGTGTTTCAAACACAAAGAATAAATACAATCTAACGGGTTATAGCTAAAAATCTGCACTAATTTTAATGGTCTGCTATTTTGTTTTTCAAATGTCGAAGAAAATCCAGCAACTTAACTGGTTCGGATTTGAACTCAAGGTACTCGGTCCGAATAAGTAGCAGTTTAACCTGCTACATTGTCAAAACGAAGATAGTAGTAAGAGTGACTAGAGTCGAGAGGCAATTTAAGTTCTTATGCTACAGTTCCACTGCAAATGGCAGTCAGTGCTAGTGCTAGAAAGCGGCACCGTTCCAAAGATTGTAGCTGTTTGATGATAGACATCAAGAGGCATCTTGGCATTGTACGGAGTGCAGTGTTCTGCCATAGCTAAAGATTCTTCGTCTGTAAATTACTATATCCAGCCGACCGAAACGCTGTTAAGCAATTTATTTTGTTAAATTTTAATGCGAAAAGAAATGAGGAAATGAAAGTTAGGGAGGGTTGCGGAATCTAAGAAAGATTTTCTTAGTTGTAAAATTGCAGACTAATTTTGATTTTCAATGGTGTCAGAATCTGATTGGATTTGTTAACTACGGTGAAAAATTTAGAAGCAGTTTCAGTCTACAATGAGTTCCGCTATTTTAGCGTTTCTTTGGAAAAAGAAAGCAATGACACTCAAAACCGATACAACTTCTATTTCGGGCATCCAACCAATAATATCTGAATATATGACACCTAATACATTTATTTATAAATTTCAATTGATTTTATTACCACAACTGTCAGATTCTACAACACCACTGAATTATTTCATCAATCTTAAAACAAATGAGAACAATCGCCAAATGTTAGACAAATTGTTCAAGTTTTTTGTGATGAGTATTTTCACATGTGTACCTTTATTTTATTTTCGACTGTTAAAGTTATATGTTTCATTAAAATAAAATTTTATCACAAATTAATAATTCGAAAGTTGTCTTTTATAAGAAAATACATGAAACAGGTAAAAAAAAAACAATTTTTTTGGCTTACTTTTATGATAAGAAATTATAATTATCCGAAGTTTATTGTGTATGTAGTTCGCGAATGGCTGCTGTATAATGTTGCCAAACAAGTTAAAATAACAAAACAGAAAGAGATATAAATACGGCTGTAAATGTTACTATGCTTGAAAGCTATATTTGGTGTAAAAAGTGGGCAACTATACACAATAAAATGAAATTAAAATTAAAATAAGTATAATGTATAATATTTTTCATTAATTATAAAATCCACGCTCAGTGTATGTACAATTGATATACAATTTATGATGTGTAAGGTTTATTACACCTTTTTATTTTGAACACCCCAGTATATGTGCTAAAATTAAGTTTGTTTACAGCAATTATTAGTGTACACACATATTTTATTATGGTAAGATTTTCATTTCCTTCATTCGTAGAATACATACATATATGTATACGTCTCAATATAATTAAAATAATTATTTGCTTTATTGACGTCTAACGTTTATATAATTAAAATAATTAATCCAGTTATTTAGGTTTCCACCAATGTGTTTGTATTTAATGCAGATTTGGTTCATCTAAATATAAATGTATTAAATAAAGACATTCAAATAAGTAAAATACCAATGTGGATTTATTTAGATTAACTATTATAATATGTCCCGAAAAACTCGCCATTCCTTCACATATAAATAAAATTAAACCTGAAATTTAGAAATGAATTCAATGTTTATAGGCAAATAATAGTGTAAAAATATGAGAGCAATAGTCATACCTGCATAAGGCCTGAGGCAGCGATGATATAATTGGACCATATCCTTGAGAATTGTCATAGAGTTCGAATAAGGGTGCCGCTACAAGCTTGTAATTTTTGGGAACAGCAAATAAAGCTAAACAATTATAGTCAAAAGGAAATATAATTAAAATCAATTTATATATGTTAATATATAACAATATACATATATGTAATATACTGTTTGGATTATATGTGTTTGTGCGTAGAAATGACAATAAATTTTAGCGATTTCTTCTATTATGTCGAGAGCATTTTGAATTAAAAAAAACGACAATAAAATATTTTTGGTTCGCTAGAAAAAAATTCTTTTAACTATTCCTGTATAAAAACAATAATGTAATAAAATTATATACATACATATGATTATATTCCATACAGACGAGTAGTGCCAACGAAGCAATTAGAAAAACTTATGCAAACTGTATGTGAACTATGGTAACTCTTTGAATAGATAAGATTAGGCGGAAAATAAAAAATGCTTATCCTTTTATTGGGAGTAGTGACCTTATTTACAATATCGACAAAATAAATTCGGCTAAGCAGCTCCAGAACATATGAATGTATGAAAGAAAAAATTAGCAAACGCTTCCAGCTCAAGTAAAACTGAACTTCGTGAATGATAACGAGGCAAAATTACAATCTGCCACCTAGAATGCCGACAGAAAGGTAACTACGAGAAGAGGCTCCTTTAAAATATTCTCAAATTTTGAATGTACATATGTATTATTGTAATATTGCAAAACTCGTGAAATAAACAATTTTGGTAATGCGCACACCATAAATTTCCGGGTACGGTGAAAACTACTGAAAGATCGATAACGCGTTAAGAAAATGTTAAGTCGTCCTCTGTCGCGGACTAACTCAACTGTTAGTTGCCGTAATCTCTATTTCTACAATTGTATCAACTTGAGTGACTACATACATATCAATAATTTCTATACAGACGCAGCACTGCCACAAAACAGAAACCTATCGCTTTTGTATCACGAACAATTAAATTAAGACGTTTCTAATCTAGTGTCCCACGGCCAGTGACATTATTTCTATGACTTACCCTTTTCATGTAACTGTACCAAAAACAGCCGTTTGTGTTCTTTTGGTTTCGTAATATGTGGCGGAATGTATGGATACTGAGGTGGTTCAAAATTCGGTCGCCACCAGTTTCCAATTGTGTCTTCCACAATCCAATCTTGTTTCACGCCATCTTGTCGCCCCAATGTCTATAAAAATAAAGATCTTAGTATTTTTTATTTAAATATTTCTTTTCAAGCATAAATAATTATGTAGTTTCTGTTGATATACAATTGTCACTTTTGCTTTTTCTATGTCCTCTTTTTGTGTCAGTAAACAAACATCAATACAATGCACACTACCGTATTACCTCTTCATGTAAAAGAGAAATTAACCGATAATATTTGTATTGTGGTTTAGCTATTTTCAGTCAGAGTTATCCGACAATTTTGGAAAATTACATGTTTCCATTTTAACTGTAGTTTGGTTAAAATTTTTAAAATTCATTACTATCGATATCAAATCATTTCGTCAAAAAATTCAGTTGATGTTCTCTCGATCAGACACCGTTTACAAATGCGGTTGATTAGAATATCAAAGGACAACAAATGCTTCCCAATTCTCGCGCGTTGTAAAAGACGGACGGATGAATGGGAATGGCACGGAGCATCACGTCTCAAAAACCCATTCACTTTTAATTTAAAATGTATAAATCCAATATGTGTGAAAATCACAACAAACTTTGCTTTGCCATGGGCACGCACTCTCGATTCTCCAACACCATTAACAGACAAGCCATTTTAGTATGTTAATAACAGTTAATTTTTATTTTTTGTTTTCACTTAAAAAATGTAATGCTAAGGGATCGGATCTGCAAGGACTCAACGTCAAAATTATCGATGTAAACGGGGACACATATGTGCACAATTTCATCCCATGATAGGTTAAGATCTATGTAGCTCATCGACTCAATAAACGAACATTTTTGTAGAGTCTTCATTAACTCTAAGAGGTTTAATAGCAACAAATATATATAAAAACTTAGAATAAAAAAACGTAACTAGTGTCCTATTCTCTGTATGCAAGTTATAATTTAAAAGAAACCAAGAAATTAACAAAAAAAAAAACCTATGCTGTGTGCGTGGATAATTTTTCAGGTGAGAAAATTTTTTCCTGACTTTGTCAAATAATTAATATTGCATCAGTAACTAAGACAATTTGCTTTATTTTACAATTCCCACGACAGCAGGTTCTAGGTACCGGAATTGACTCGGATTTCATCCGACCAAGGGATATTTTTTCGGCGATCTAACCCCATTTGGATCGGTGAGTCTTAATTTGTGTTGGTCTTCATTGGAGCAACGCCTAGCAGCAGGGTTGCTCCGTATCCTACTGACTCGTGCTAGCATTGAGTCCAACCCGGGCCCGGAGGAATTTTTCTGCTGCGTTTGCGCAAAAAGGCTACAATAAAACTCAATCTCGGTCAGGTGCAATACATGCAATGGATGGATCCATCTTAAGACCTGCTCAGGCCTTAAGACTCATAGGGAGTGAACCACGCGTAACGTGGCTCCATGTTGCCTACGCAATACTGCGGCGCTAGCCTCTACGGCTGCGCAATCTGCACACAGTTCGCGCGCTGCGCCGCCACTCACCCCGAGAGGCCAACAGAGGACCTCCACGGTCCCCAGGAGCTCAAACAGGCAACATAGCTCCCTCTCTGACTTGTACCCCCCTAACCTTCTTCCCGCTCCAATCCTTGTACGAGAACCAATCAGCAACTCTTGGTTCCTCGCGCAGTCTGTTCCGTGTGTCAGATCATCATTGTCGGAACGTTACTTCAATCAAGTGCAATTCCTGCACTGGCTGGTGTCACTTCGCTGCGTGTTCCGGCCTGCGCACCACACGTGAGTGGAATGAGTCGTACGTTGCCCCATGCTGCAGGAGTCTGCAACCGTAACACACAACAGTGGCGTCGCCAACAAACACCCTAGTGCGACAACCGCCCCTGCGGGCTGTGTAGCTGCAACAAATACCACCCACAAGTCACTCCCTCACCCCCAGGATCACCCACGGACACCCGCGACAAACCCGACTACTTCCATTTTAGAATTTGATTTAAATTAAGTCGAGCAAACAATATTTTAACTTACTTCGGTAAGAAGGCGTTTGAGGCCTTCTACCTCATCTTCTCCTGCATTAAGTTCACCCCCAGGAAGCTTGAAAAATGTTGTACCCAACTGCAGAAGTAATACGTGGGGTAAACCATGTTCGTGGACAAGTAGGACTCCTTCAACTGAGCGCCGCATACCAATACGATCAAATTCTTCTCGCATCCTTTGAAAGCGTGATGGAACTGATGGATCTTTTTCAAATAATGGTTCCTTTGTTCCAAATGTGTAATTAGTCAAAGGATATCTGAAAGAGAAAAGGGTTAATCTTCATAATTTAAAAAAAAGAATGGGGAAAATAGATTGCTTATAATTAATACTACCACATGAAAAAAAGAGTATAATTTTTTTTTTTCCTTAAGGGTTACACTTAGTTTAGAAGAATGACTAATTTGAATTTTCAAGTTTCAAGTTCAAGTTTTTTTTTTTTTAAACGCCGCCATTTTTAACGAGAATTTTGTATTTTTAAGTTTTATTCACGCCAGAACACTGCACTCCGCATGACAGGAGGACAGGCCTCTTGATGTCTCCCGTCGAACATCTACATAGTGAGACGCTTATGCTTCCAGTTGAGGAGGTCATTCCTCAACTACGTCGAACAGAACGGCGACTGGACTTCGGACAGAACTGACTTCCGACAGATACTGATCGCCAACCACATGTCACTGGCCACATCTTTATATGTCCCGCCAACATCACTCATATAACACACTTTTCTCTTTGGTCCGACTCCGTCGAAACATGTAATATATATACCCTAAATTTTCAAAACCCTGTCACACTACCATATCCTTTAAAAATTTTACAAAGACTAATTTATTTAGCAACGACATTTAGTAAATTAAGGAAATATGGTATAAGCGGTCTATTTGGCTGGGATTTAGAATAGCATCCGTCGATTTCGGGATTAAAATTGGTATGTATGGTGAGTACGTTCTTCAGATCAAGAAAATGTATATATATACATAGTTGTCTTGTGGTTTTTGAGATATTTGTATTTAAAATTTTAAATGCGAGTTTTTTGATTTATAATGAATTTTGCCCATATATTTTTATCTTTTTGTACATAACCATTCCAACCAACCTACTCCGCAATATGGGATTGCTATTCTAAAAATCACCTAGCTATTTAATTATTATATTTTCATTACCGAAATTTAGTGTTATTGAAGTTTTATGTGTGAAATTAGAAATACAAAACTGATACACATATTTCGGAAAAGACTGAGCAGGAGACCTATAATGGCTTTGAGTTTGAAGAAATTAAGATTCCGTGATACAATTAAAATTTTCGAAAATTCAGGTTTGAAATTGGCACGTTTATCTGTTTTACCTTTTAAAATAATTGAATATTAATTAAAATGCAATTTAATAATAAAATAAATTATTTCAATGCATAACAAATAAACCCTATCAGTCTGCTTTAACAGTGCTAACAAAATCATGGTCAGTTTTTTATACTCACAAGTTTATTGTTCTGTTTATGGCCAAGCACTGTCCAGCCGAGTATTTCTGCATTCCATTATTTACATTTCCGTCTACTTGGCCCTGACTGCTGCGTCTTGGCCAACCTGTACCAGATTTATTTGACACCTGGGCCATTGAAAATTCTAATCCGACGATATTATTGTATAAATTTTACGATATTTAACATATGCAAAAGCATGCACTATATAATAAATTGGCCAACTTAGCGTCGAAACAAAATTAATGATGCTGCCACACTATGTTCATAACATTTCAGGGTGCCCAAACAGTTATCGAATTTAGGATTAACGATAACCATTTAGCCTGTGAGCCAATCCGTAATTTTTCTCTCTGTGTTAAATTGGTGTAATCAAATTTACTATGGTGTAAACAAATTTCACATATTTCTGTGCAATGGAAAGTAAAGTTTTAACACTTGGTATACTGTTGTTACTAATGTTTTGAACAAAATTATTTACAACATCATTATCCCAGTCAGAAGTCTCTAAATTTGAAATTTTAAATTATAGACAATATTTGTGACTTGAGACGATTATGCAATTTAGTAGGTAGTCACAAGAATCACTAAATTTAACAAAAAGATGAATACAATGGGAGAAATCTTATGTACCTATTTGTTCTAACATTAACTGCTTTCCATAAATCGAATGAATTGTAATTGCAACCTTGCGCTAGCATGTCCCCTAGCGGTTGCGAAATTGTATTGCGCTATCCCTTAAAAAAAAAAAAAAAAAGGATGAAAACAGATAATTCAACTTCATGTGCGGACCACAATGCTCGCGACAGACTGCAGCAGCACGACAGTGAACTGAAAATGGCATTGTGAATACTACTACATGAACGTTTGTGAGAGGGCAGCAACATAACAATGGCCGGCATGTACACAAAACCTTACACTTCAATGAAATTTTAATATTTTGTTTTTTTAAGCAAAAAATAAGTAAATTTACCTATTTATTTGTTTTAAATTATCAATTGTTATTATAAATGATGTAACAGAGCTGTTATATGCTTTTATTTGTAAAATAACGTAAGGTTTGTTACAGCTTTGAGTAATTTTACATTTTACATATTAGTGGCATCACCACTCTACCTCATCTCTCTATCTTCCATTCTACTGTCAACTCTACTGTCGTCCTACTGTCGTTGGCAAATATAGGATHAAATTGAAGTTAGCGAGAACGACAACTGTCGGTCTGCCGTCGTGTAGTCGTGCAGCTGTCAAAATAGGTCCGTCCATAAGAACGTGTGTATTTCAATATTTGACAGATGTCGTTTGCAGTCTGTCGCGAGCATTGTATTCCACACATCAGTGTTTCAATTGCTAGGCAGTCCTTAGTCAATGTTTAATCACCAACCTTGTTCGTTAGAAATTTAAATTAAAATCTTCAAGATACATATCAGTTTTTACGCGCTTTTGAAGAAATCTCTCTACGAAGATTTTACAGCCTTATTTAACGCATACTTATGTATCTACAGCCAGTCTCGCCCTACCTAACGCACATTGGTTGCTAGAGCCACTTCTGCTTGAACAACTGATATCTCCTAGATTCAACCAAAAGAGTCTCCTTTGTCTTCCTGAGTTTTCACATGACAGGTAATTTCAAAAGTATTTCTACATACGGAATAATCTTGTTTTCCTTGTGGTCGTAAAAACTGTTAAAAGGGTCCCAATATGTATTTATAAAAATCGTATATGGTGTTATGTCCAAGCGCGATCCGCCCAAGCTAAAGCGAAGTCGTTTTTGTATGCTAGAAAATAATATGAAGAATGTTTCTCCTTTTTTTCTTTCTCCACCAACAATCCTTTCTACTTAATCCACTTCTAATATTCCGAGGACCTTTCTTACCTTCGTACTGATTACCAACGCTCACCAAAGCTGCCTTCTTGCGAGCTCAACAGCTTTGCAGTTCTTGGCGATTCCGCTGTGAGCAGGCATCCATACCAAGCTAATATCGCTAATAATGCCATACACCTCTTGACAGCCTTAAACGTATAGTCACCGAGGGCCAGCATTGAAGTGTTTGCTATCGGAAAGAATAGATGTAACCTTGAAAGACTCACCGACTTTGCCACACATAAATATTCCTCGTTAATATGTGTGCGGAGAAGATACTTTCAGGAGTAGCGTCGCAATTCAGTGGTCCACGTTATCAGGTTGCAGTCGAAGTGGCTAAGAGTTTCGGCAATCCCCTTTCTGGGTCCGTCTGTACTACATTTATTATATTTATTTTCTATTAAAACTTGAAAGACTAAGCGTTCGTACATATCTACCCTCTTGGATTCATTTGAAATATCCGTTGAACCGGTCAACTAATAACCGAAGGTCAAATTTTTGTTTTCATGCTAAGGAGTTGCAATGAATGTAGTGCGGTTGAAGTAAATGAGGTACAAGTCTCACAATAAAAATTCAAATATGGTGAAATATGTTGGTACAGTATTTATATGCATGTTATTGCCTAGATATACCGTTAATAACACGATTACTAAAACAACGTCGTCACTTTAATCTTCATATAGGTAATCAGTTAAATTCTTCACTTTCGTGCGAAAATCTTAATCGAAAGTTCATTCTGTAGTTATACTGAGTTCAAAACAAGAAAAAACGTTAACTTCAGTTGCACCGAAGCTAAATACCCTTCACAGGTGCATTTCTGTTAGTAATTATCTGTTCAGTTTGTGTGGAAGCTATGTATATGCTATAGTAATCCGATCTGAAAATTTTTTTCGTAGATTATATTATTACCTTAAGCAGTAATCCAAGTAAAATTTCGTGAAGATACCACGTCAAATGTGAAAGATTTCCATACATGAACTTGATTCGGATTGTTCAGTTTGTATGGCAGCTACTATGCTATAGTTAACCGATCTAAATAATTTCTTCGGAGATTACATTGTTGGCTCAGGAAATTATCTATACCAAATTTCGTGAATATATCTTGTCAAATATGTTTTCCATACAAGAACTATAGTTAACCGATTTCAACAATTTCTTCGGAGATTATATTTTTGCTTTAGAAAATAACCTGTACCAACTTTTATTGAAATACATTGTCAAATGTGCAAATTTTCCATACAAGAACTTAATTCCGATCGWTCAGTTTGTATGGCAGCTATATGTTATAGTGGTCCGATATCGGCAGTTTCGACAAATGTGCAGCTTCTTGAAGAGAAAATGACGTTTCCAAAGTTTCAAAACGATATCTTAAAAACTGAGGGACTAGTTCGTATATATACAGACAGACAGACGGACATGGCTAAATCGACTCAGCTCGACTGATCAGTATCATTTATATATATACTTTATAGGGTCTCCGACCCTTCCTTCTGGGTGTTACAAACTTCGTGAAAACCTTAATATACCCTGTAGAGGGTATAATTACGGATAATAACGTGCCATAACTAGGTGCGTATGTATTTATTCTAAGCAAAGTAGTCATCAATCTCCAAGGGAAACAAATATTGTTTATTGCGTCAGTAATGTTTACCGTACCGAATTGATTTAGCTTATAAAGTTAAGTTATGGATTCAGAAAAGGTAGAAAGCCAGTCTTATAAAGAAAAGTTTAAAGAGAAAAATGATTTGTTTAATAATTTACTTCAGCCGAAAACTGAAACTAGTTCACTTGTAGAAGATACCGAAGAAGAAATACAAATTAATAAGTTTTTAGATTTCATAAAAGTTTCTTGTAAAGTAAATAATGTTGTATCAATGCAAACTAATCAACAAAGACATTTGACGTGTAATACATCAGAAAATTATCACTCACATCTCCCGAAAGATGAACTGAATTTTGAAAAAATGGTGGATAAAGAGATATTTGAAGGCATTTTAGGGCAAAGATTTGAAAATAAAATAATGAAACCAAATATTGCACAAGATAGCGAAGTCTCCACAAGCGGAATTGATGATAACAAACTTTCCCAAAGGCGGAGTACTGTGGGATTGGCTATTGGGTCATTTTCTCGGCGTAGTTTCAAGAAATTAGATAGCGGATTAAAAAAGGAAGAAAGTGTGCAAACAAAACTATATAAGAAATTAGACTATGTTATTAATGAAGGAATGGCTGACTCTGTTCTATCCTTTATTTGTCCAATACCGGTACCAGCTTCTTTTCCTAATCAATTAAAACATAAACAAACAAATAAAAAGGAATCGATTAATGCTAGACAAATTCTTTTGGAGAATACAGATTCTGTAAAAGTGAATAATAACGGAAAAATTAATGAAATTGAAAATGTTAATGACAGAAAGGGATTAAATTGTGAAACTTATCCGAACGACGCAAAGCCAATGAGAAAGTTAAAAAATATAGGAGATACAAAAGAGTACGCCAATCAGATACCAATAAATACATTTCAAAAATGTAATATGTTTATTTTAATTTTATATAATTCAGACCTGAGATTGTTATCCATGTATGTGATGAAGTAAAAAATACTACAAAAGATTTTAGCTGCTCACAACGGTTATTGGTGAATAAAATGGGATACTTCGCAGAGGTAACGGCTGGACAAAAGCTCGACGAAATGGACATTTCGGTGCATTGCGATATACAAATATTCGACTGGTTAATAAAATGGATGAAATTAACGGATTTCGTTGAATCATCAGGTTGTAAGAAACCCACAATTGAAGGCTCAGAGGATATGCCACGATTGGATGCTAACAATGTAATTCCTATATTGGTGTCTGCCGGATTTTTGCAAGTAAGATTTATTTGATTTAAAAAAACTATAGTTTTGAAGTAATGCTATGATATATAAAATCAACTTCTATACGTTGGGTTGTTAAATATATACGCCCTGTCCACTTTTGAGGGCATGAAGATTCAAATCTTTTAACTTCCAAAAAATCTTAGTTACCTAGATCAGGAAAATATAAATTGATGGGCTAAATTTAGACAGCAGAGCACTTTAACAAGTACATATGTATGTATCTCTCTCTTTCGAACATCACACGGCAACTATTGATTGCTCGCACAGTTTGTTCCATGTGTCAAACCGCTATAAACTAGAATTCTATATATGTACGTATGTATTAATTGCAGCGGACTCCAGTGTAGTTAGATTAATGAGCCGGGAAAGCATCGAAACGCATTCGCTGTCATTCAAGAAATGAAATTAAACATGCGCTCAGGTCTTCTGAGTTGTGCAGGGTTCAACTTTTTACGTAAAGATAACGAACGAGATAAGGGTGGAGGCCTAGCCTTCATACTGCACTACTCTGTGCAATACCGTTTTATCGAGGGCGAACATTGACCGCAATGATACTACCCTAGCGACTTAATTAACAACGAAGTTCCCATCAGAATTATGGGCAGTTTTAATAGCGCGCCTGATATACCATCGCTAGCGGTGCACATAATAATCTCGACTGAGAAACCCCAAAACTTTAGCTCTGCGAACAATCGCACCGTTGTTAGCGTTAACTTAACTGGATAGAATGTATTGGCATCTTCACTTCACTACTAATTCTAAGGCCGTAAGAGGTCTCATTTTGTAGGTTTGACAACTGATACATCAGTATAAGCGGACGAAATGGATAGGGCACTTTTAAGTATTTCTACCTCTCTGCCGGTGATGACCGGATTGAAATACAATTTGATGACCATGCCTCCATTCTGTTTATACCGGATAGTTAGGTTAGGTTAAGTAAATCTAACAAACGCGTAGATCAGTTTGCTCCTTTACGATACCAGATTGCTAAGTCCAGGAGAAGTAGGCATCGTTTAGGAAGCCTGCGCTTGACGCGAATTTTAATAGACTCTGAGGCCTCACTGTCGACACCTCCTCCAGTTTGTCATACTGTAGGGACCTCAGATGCGGGGTAAGTGCACAAGAAACGCTCCATTGTTTCCCACCTGTCCTGCTCTAGGCATTTCCTGTTGTTCTCACGATCTGACCAGTTAGTATACCGTATAGTACTTCCTCATAGATTTTTTGGTTATGATAATACATAAATAGTAGATTTACTTCTAAACATTTTAGTTATGTATAATATATTAGTATAATATATTAAACTATTCAATTGTAAACTTACGCATTTATTATTAACTTAAAGATGGAGCCTCTAATGGTTGAATGCCTATCGTTTTGTCATGCTCGGTTGTGTGATGTAGTACGTTGCTCTTTAAATCTCTCCTGTTTGAATGATTCAATAATTACACGGTTAGCTGCTATGTTTACCAATTTGGAATTGGAAATGGTGCGAGACAAAAAAGAACGTTTAGTACCACGTTTGTGGATAAAGCTTATTCAAAGTCTTTGTGAGCCTGAACCAGAGGCACTACGAGGGCACTCCTATAGTTTAGCTGGGTTGTTTCGATGTTCAAGGTGGTATTAAATTGATAATCAGTTTATCTTATTTAATTTAAATTTTTATTAAAAAGATGCGGTGAACATCTTACAAACACAATTAAATCTTACATTCCCTGTCAACCTAACAACACACGACTAACCCGATGGGGTCAATTGACGAGTTGTCACGTGCGCGACAACCTCTGGAACATGAATAACTTTATTGCGCAAATATATAAAGAGCATCGGTCATGGCGTAAGGTTTACTGGAAACTTTGGGGTCATTGCCATTTTTTATATTGTTGCATCTGCGAATCACATTTCCCAGTTTACAAGGTATGTAGGTACATACATACATATATATATACAAATATATTTATTTTTTTGTGATATGTTATGCATGGCTTTGCAGATGACGTGGTGTCGTTTTCACCCTTTGAGTCCAAATTATATGGAATCAATTACTGATGATTTTTTAGCCGGACCAGTCGGTCGTTATCCGTGTTGTGGACAAAAAGCATTTCGTTTTGAGACGTTTCCTGAGACCAATGTAAGTCCTACTAAGAATAATACATACATGTATGTATTACAAAACAGGATACAGATTATTAATATTTTAAAACCAAAGGATATGAATTAGCGATGCAAAGAAACTAGTTAAAATAGAGTAAGCACATGATGTTCTCAATTTTAGTTGCTACAGAGTATAATAGTTCTGTTCAACGGTTGTTTGTATCACCTAAAAATAATTGAGATAAATTATAGTTATATATCATATATAAATGATCACCAAGACGCAACGAGTTGAATTCCGAGTGATTGTCTGCCTGCCCGTACGTGCAAGCGATAACTTGCGTAAAAATATCTTAATGAAAGTTGGTACACATGTTCCTTGACAAAAAAGTGCGGATGATAAGAGTAGATAGAACAACAACAACGTCATTAGTCGAAAACGTATAAAATGCCATAACAAAGCACTTAATTAAGTTATAAACCTTTAATTCGGTATAGAGGATTGCAGTAGCAAAGAGAACTTGTGGGCTAAAAATTTTGAAAAAATTGGTATAGTCCCATCCTTTAATCTAACCCACTAAAGCTACTACAGCCAAATTCTCTTAGAGCTAATATTGTAAGAATGCGACAGTGTGAAAATGGATAAAATCGTGCGAAAATGAAATAAATGCGACCAAATCTGTCCAAAACCCCAGATACCTTTATCTTAATATAAATCTGTTTCGATTAAAGTCATCTCTTCTGTAGTACTCATTTTTAGAGCATAATAGAATTGTTGTTATTTATTATATAATACTTCTATGAAGTACAATTAATCTACTGTTCCAATACCATCTGCCATTAGTTTTTCATGATTGGTATCGAATACCTTTTTGGTATTTTCCAAGAATTTTGATAACATCTTCCACTTTTTGTTTTCTCTAAGACTTTCCTGAGATAGTGTTGAACGTATGCATCACCTTTCCGGACAAATTCGCTTGGGTTTTAAGAAATTTCTTCCCGTTTTTTTCCATTTTGAGAATTTTTCCGCAACACTTCTCCTATTTATTGTTTATTTTTAATAATATCAGGGCTTTTTTGTATTTAGCTGAGCTCTTTTTTCCGGCTCGAAGGACCAAATATTTGATTTGTACTCGTAACATGAAATAGTTAAACTCAAATAAGAATCTTTAAGTTCTTACCGCTGGTGGGGGAAAATAAAGCCTTATTTGAGTTGAGAAATTTTTCGTTCTGATTTTATTTTGATATTTTTAAGCCTTATATACTATTATAGGAAACTATCTTAAATAACTAAACATATGTGTATGTGTATATAACTATACAATTTAATAAATGTGTATGTTAATGATATCTGATCTGGGTTTCTAAATTGTAAATTTATAATTTGTGTGCACCCACTCAGTTTCTAAATGTATTTTTATTATTATTGTATGTACATATATTGTATATAAATCCATATGTCTGTTTATGTACATATGTATGTATGTATATTCCATATATTTTAAAATAGATATTTATGTTTAGTGATATTTCGGCAGTAAGCAAATTCAATGATATTTGAACAGATTTCAAAATTTCAGTTGGGCTTTTACCGTCTATATTGGTCAATATGTAAGATATCTTAGTAAAATTAAGTGGATATATAATATCGAATGTACCTAGTTATTAATAAGTTTTGCAAAAGCTTTAAAATAATCTCCCGCTGCTTCTTGTTACTTTTAAGGGATGTCATTTTCGTGAGCATAGCGTTCTTGCAGAGACTGATCGAGAGCGCCAGATTTTGCAAATAATCCAAATTATATCTGACAATTGCATACTTTCTGATCCCCCAAGCGAAAGTTTAAGGAATCCGGAAAAAAATCCTCTTTGGGGGGGAGTGCCACTTACTCCTCAACAATGCAGACAAGGATTGTTACCTGCTTTGGATGTAGGAGGTAAAACTATTTTAATTGATCAATTTTGAAAATATTTCATGATAACGTTTTTAAAGATCTATCATCAAAATCTATTCGACATATGGACCATGATGTTTCAATCAACTACGATTCTTGCAGTGACAGCAGTGGCAGCGAAACAACTTATAACATAGATTGTCAGAGCAAGAAAAATAACACAAAAAATTGTGAAATCGATTTTAGCAGTGACGGCTGCGAATCAGAAAAAGGAGGTTCAGCCTTGACTACAAGAAAATTTAAAAAAAAGTAAGCCTCAGTGTGTAACATTTTTGTATTATTTGTTCATTTTTAAATCTTACAAGACTTAGTTTAAACTCCGGTCGTAATTGGTTTGGAGAACTATCTGCTCGTAGTAATCAAGACCACCAGCGGGAATATGAAGAAAAAGCATTGAAAAACATTGTAATTCAAATAAATAAAAATTATGGATTGGATAAGAGCATTCTTCCATGTGGGTCGGTTGGGGGATTTTATGTGCGTCTAGAAACCGAATGGAAGGATCAGCTAAAACATAGAATTTCCTCAAACCCTATTAGTAGTTCATCAGCGTCTGCTATTGGAAAACACAAATATAAATAACCGACTTTATCTTTAATTTATATTAAATATATTTTCAATATGTTAAGAAATTTATAAGCAATTATCAAAAACCTGTATCAATTTAATTTTTTAACTAACAACTAGCAAAACTGATGATGTATCCTATTTCTGTATCAAGGAGAATGAATTCTAGAGCACAATTGAAGGAAAAATCCTAGAATATTCGATATACTTGTAAAAGAAAATCACAGAAGCGCAAATTTATCACCAGTCCAACAGTGATATATAATATATCCCCTTCTATAACAATTTGCAATATGCTATTCCTGGGAAGCTGTTTATTTCCAACCAACACGAAATAAAATAATAATATTTTTACAATATCACTTTTCTTAATATTTTTTGGGGATGAAAAGAAGTAAGAGTTTGTTAACATTGACTGGTGAAAGTCCACAGGCCAAAGAACACTCCACAAGCCCAAAGAAACTATTAATAAAATAGTTTTATTAATAGTTTATTTGGAAAAAACAACCTCGTAAGGTTGTAGAATTTAAAATTATTTATTAAAATAATAAATATAATAATTTGCTTTTATAAAAGTAAGGCAATAAGCTTTACTTCGTAACATATTTCTTTGTTAAATTACTTACAAATATTGATGTTTTTAAAAGGTTACTTAAAAGTTTGAAAAATATAAGCAATCAAAAAATATACTTATGTAGATTATAATAACTGTCAAAAACGTACATATAATCATGTATAATAGTTGTAGATATTTATATAGTGAAATTAGACGATTTGGTCAAATTGATGAAGGGGTGCGCTGATGTCTACATACATATGTATGCAGATGAATATAACTTACAATTGTGTTTCAATCCTGTCTCCTCGCTAAGGAGAGGTACTTAACAGTAGGCCACGAATCGCTTGCACGGGTGGACAGGTTCAGTAACTTTAATTGCTTAAACACCAAGTTGATACCCCTTAAGCAGGATCAATCTGATGTACTGAGACAGTTGCTGAATTAGGACTGATTTCAAAGATCCTTCGATCACGATATACATACATGGGCAGGTTGTCAGATGTGAGAGTTAGCATAGGCCACTAAATAAAAATTATATTTGAACGGATCTATATTCATATATAAAAGAAAGGTGTGTTAGTTACACCATTTATAACTCAAGAACGGCTGAACCGATTTGGCGGAAAGTTGGTGGGGGGTAGCTTAGAACCACTGTAAGAACATAGGATACTTTATATCTCTTTATGTCAAAATTTAATACAACTCATAGAGACAAAAATTATATTTCAAATCATAAGCATTTGTCAAAATTCATGTTTGTAGGAATCATTTGAATATATGCGTTCAATTTTACACAGATTCTTCCTCAAAAATAATACAATTGCTAAGTATTTGGAATAGTAGAAAAGAATTGCAACCAAATACGCAGTGAAATTGATTGTAACTGGCTCAGTATTCAGTCGTTGAGTATGTATTATACCACGTGAGAACCAGTTCAGTTTCCCAGTGGGAAATGATTTAGCTATGTTTCTAATGTCACACACCAAAAATTCGGTTTTATTACGATTAAAGACTCAAACACTTCTCAGGATCAGTTATTCGTTGTTTTTGTTGGATTATGAACTTGCGAGGCACCCTCTTTGCACAGAGTTTTCGCGTCTTTAAGCTTAGCAAATGTCTTTTCATCGGTGGATTTCCCTGAGCCAAAATTCAACAGTATTTTATTAACACACGAAATGCTTTACGATCCATATTTTTGTAAACTAACATAAGCTACGTAATTAAATAAAGAAGAAAAAGAGGTATAATAGAAAAACATTCGTAAATTTATAACGGCACCGCATGTATTTTGGTACTACATTCTTGGTCCCTTCTGTCACAACCTAAACCTAATAAGTAACGGTAAATACTTAATCTAATATTTATCATTCTTTATGAGAAGTGTATAGTTTCATTGACATAGCTTCATAATCTTGAAGATACCATTTATCATATAATACGAGTACACACTGTTAGTAGATTTAAAAATAATAATAATAATAATAATGTGACAGAAAATTAAGATTATACAAGAATGACGCACAGAGCGGATCAATATAATGTTACATATATGTATTTTCATTACAATACAATTTCATTACAACACAATTTTAAAGTTGTATATCAATCAATTTTATTCTGAATATGGTAAGCTCGAATATTTTATTGTAAATATGCCCAATTTTGGGAGGCTTACTAAGTTTTTGATGGAATGGAATATTAAGGATAATGTTGACTACAATGTTACTTTTCCTCTCTGTCCTAAAAGTAGAAACCTTTTGATCTACCCATTATCAACACTATACCAAACAACTTTTGTGATATGTTATATCTTGCTGGTTTTCCTCTAGTGTTCATTGCTTCAAGCAACCTTTAAAGGAACTTAACGGTTTAAAGTAAAATACTGCAACGGTTTAATGGAACTGCATTCCCGGTAGCCCTAAGCGGGCAAACTCTTCTTCCTCTTCTTTAATTTTTTACTTATATGAGTTAATAACAGTTTGCCACTGACCTTCTTACATATATGATATGAATAGCTTAGCTATCTTCAAGAAAGCTTATGCACTTGTTATTTATGTAGAAGCTCATATGATGTAACAGGGTTTTCATTTACTACTCCGTAGAAGCAAGATTTCTGGAATTACTGCTATGCTATAGCTACCGCTCTCACTATGTCGGGAGACATAGCAGAGCCGTAGCATAACAATGTAAAAGCATGTGATTAACTCTGCTGCGAGTTTTGCTAGGTAAGAAACTACAGCTATATTTTTTTCTCGAAAAGAGATTGATTTCTTCGTATAAATAGAGAGCGCGGTTTTCTCCGCCAAGTTTGTTGAGATGATGAGCTCGCCCGCTCCGCAGCCTCCACCAATACGGTAGGGCCTGAACCCTTCACTGGGGTGGGTCCTCATACCTTAAAGGAGCTGCTCCGCAAGGAAGAAGGAGTGGGCAGGAAAAGGCATTGACAACGAGTGCATGGTATTCGGTATGCCAAGTTACTAATTGGGGGGTACAACCAGAGCAGGTTTAAATCTATAATTAATCTCCCTAGGGATAAAGTCAGACTACTGGTTGCATTTACACCGGCCACAGCAAGCTGAATAGACATTTATTTAACATGGGCCTGTCCTCTTGCTCTAACTGACGGTTTTGCGACAGGGAGCCTGATACACCGGAACACCTGGTAATCGACTACATAGCAGTCTTGGTTTCAGGATAGAAGAAGCTTGGTTTCCTGTCGCCTAGTACTTATGTGCGATACACACGCAAATATTTTATATGTATTTAATATTCACGCTGCTAATATTAATTGAATTCTCCTGGCTGATGGTAAGCCCTTATATCTGTCTATCGCACTCGACGCGGGAAGAGTTCAGCAAGTAGGCTTTTTCAGAGCTGCTATATGGAATATCAGTTCCATCCTCAAGTCCATCCTTCCTCCAGGTGTGCCTTGGTATCTGACTGAGTAGTTTCGGAAGTTGGAGAAGTTTTTTAAGTTGGAGGAATTTTTTCTTTCAATATGGGCTGAATTCGACAGCCGGTAATTGTCAATATATTCTCTTTTCATTCATATTTAGTTATTATTATTTATTTTCAATAAAGTGTATTTAACCAAAAGCTGCCTTTCTGAATAATGTAATAGATTGAGTGTGAAGGTTTATCGACTCTGGCAACGTTAACTTTGAAACCGATAAAAAGTTTACCCAACATTATTATATATGTATATCGATTAAAAACGATTTTGTCTATTTGACATTTCGCCTCACAATTAGCTAAAAATTCAATAAAGGTCAAAATTAACCAAAATTGTAAACTGAGTAAATTTTAAACAGTTCCAAATACGAATATTTTTAGCGCAAAAAAATAGTAAGCCAGGATATATTAAATTTGATACCACAAAATGGCAAACATGGCTGTTTCTCGTATAAAGCGGGAATTCAAAGAAGTTATGAGAAGTGAAGAAGTAAGTATAACATAATATTCAATTCTTTTGAGGAACAATATTAGGATGTTTCTGTTTTATATTGCACATGTTGCGTTAAAAGTAGTATAAGGGAATACAACATCTTAGGATAAGTGCAGCTGTAGTAAATTGGAAACTTGAAATAAAAAAAAAAAATGTTCAAATATACATCGATCATAATAACGTTCCTCAATCAAATATTGCAATGAAAAAGTACCAAAATATTATAAATTTCTTATGTTTAAAATATGAACTATTTTTTTAGGACGATGTCAATGAGATGAGGGTTTAATCGTCCACTACTGGAAATATATTTCGAATAAGTTATGTATCCGCAGAGTGGACGCTCAAAGCCGAGCAGAACGTAACTGTGCGTGTTGCGTAAATGGGAAAAGTGCTCGGCTCGGCTTTAAGGGTACTCTGTAGGTACCATTAGTCAATTTATATTAGGAGTTTTCAAGAATGTGAAGTGAATTTAGATTAGGAAGATTTTGTTATTTTCTTTCGCTGACCTGTTGGAAATGACGTAAATGTACACTTATAATTAAAGCGATGGCTTGGATATCAAACAAATGTGGCTATAACTCGTGCTTTTTCATTAATTTCCATATCTCAGAACTTTTTTATTTAAGTTTTTATTGTTTAGATATAAAAACTTATAAAATAAATGTAGCAGTTAAAATTAGTTATAATTCGATCATACGTACCTTGTTCCTTCATATACCTAAATTTATAACCTTAGTTTTTTGGTTAATTTTATACTCACCTATGAATGCATATCGTGAGCACAAAATATCTAGAAATATGTATTCCAGTACTCCTCAATTATAATACTATCATCGTCCTCCATCATTAATATTCCTAATGTCTCAAACTGTTCTACTTTAATTTTCAACTATGCAATATATTTCTGCTTAAGGGGTGAGAGGCATGAAAAAATTACAGTTTTCAGTATTTTTTTTTTTGCTATTAAATCGTGTTATTTGACAAAAGTAGTAATATGGCATTATTATA